TTTTTACATGAATGAATCATATAAACACACGTATCGTGAGGAGAAAAGCCGCAACGAGGTCGGCCAGTCTCTTAATTCGAGTCTTCCACCAACTTTCAAACAATTAATGACTTCAATCACTCCTATCCCATCATTCTCTTGGCAGAAAATTACTCGCGGGTGACGCGAGTTTTGTCTAAATAAATTTTAGGTCCCTCTATTTTCAAAAAGACAACCGATGTCCTTACATTTTGTTGTAATGACTGGAAGGGGACATTTCATCCAATACATCATCCGTAAGTGTTAATAAATGTATTTTTTTCTATTTTTTCAATACCGTTTTTTCCTATTTTGCCATTACCTTGTTTTTTCTTTTTTTAAATTTTTTTATTTCATATGTTTTAATATATAATACAAACAATTTTGAATTTTTATACAATTTTATAGAAGAAATTCTAAAATAACACTTTAAAAAATAGTAACAAAATGAAAGAAAAACACAGAAATAAAAAAAGGAGCGACCTAAGATTTATTGCCTTAAAACATTAAGAAAAGAATAGGAAAAAAATACATTTATTAACGTTTATAGATGAAATATTGGATGAAATATGACCTTCCAGTCATTACAACAAAATGTAAGGACCTCTGCTGTCTTCTTGAAAATAGAGGGACCTGAGAGTTATTTCAACAAAACTCGCGTCACCCGCGAGTAATTTTCTGTTCTCTTTGCTTATAATTAAACTGTTCAAAATGTTTATAAAGAGTCTTTAACATATAAATCATCTCATTATATGTTTCTGTGTGCTTATAAGCTGACTTAAGAAGTGTTTATAAGGCATAAAAAATAAGGACACTTTAGCAACTTATTTTCTAAGTTAGTTTTTTCATTTTTTTGTTTGATCAGATTATTTACAAAATTATTTCTTACCATATATGAACACTACTTCCAAGTAATTTATGTATAATTAAATCATTTTACTTCTACAAAAAAATATTTGACTCATAAATAGTTTATAAGTAAAAAACTACGGAGTACTTATCAGCAATAAGTCAAACATCAGCATAGATAAACACTTCCTTAATTTATAAAATGACAAGAATATAATTGGATCTCACACAAGTAGGATTTGGAAAAGTGTGGGTACACAATTTTACCCCTACTAAAAAATAGAAAGATTATTTCTAGAAGATTTCTGATTCAAGCTATACAGGAAAAAATCACAAGAGATACGACATAAAACAAAGAAAGAGCCAAGCATCTAGAGGCAATGAATATGTAACACCATAATCCGTCCAGGTCTACAACCCCTTTTAGACTATATATAGTATTAACTTGGCAAAGTAGAAGTTTCAAACACTTAAAAACTTTATTTCATCATAAATATCATTTCAACATAATTGGAGTTCATAATAAATTTGCAGAAGCTTTGTAAATTATTTCAACAACACAAACACCAAAAATATAAGTATCATTTTGAATATTTATTTAAACAGCTAGAAAACCATCACAATCCATCCCGACATCTCATTACCATCTGTGTGTAGCAAATAAAACATACTACCCGTTTAGCGTTGAAATTGGGTTATGATATCTAATGCATCGAACATCCACATAATTTGAATCATAATTCATATCCAAACCATCTAATTTCATGCACGTAATATTCAGTTCAATGTTTAATATTTATGGTATTAACAGTGCTCTTAAGCTATTCTTAGTCTAAGGCCAAATCGTAACAATGCTCTTAAACTATTCTTAGTCGTCTAAGGCTAAATATTTTGATAACATGACTCTTAAACTATAATTAGATTAAGATTATTTTATTTCATAACCAGACTCTTAAACTATGGCAAGTTTAGGGCAAATTTATATTAATAACAAGACTCTTAAACTATAAAATAGTTTAACGAAAAAAGATAACCATACTTTTAAACTATAATTAGTGGGTGTATTCAATTCAGATTTTAAATAATTATGTTAGATTTTTAATAACCCATGGATTACCTAAGATTTATAAATTGTTTAAACTCTAAGTAGATTTCATTAGATTATAACGTATCGTATTATCAAGACTTGCTAAGATTTGTTTAGATTTTTACAAGTTCAAAAATCCTTTCTACCCAACTTATTTCTGAATTGGAAGACAACATCAGAACCAAAAGCGCCTTCACTCCCGGAAAATTGATCAGACAAAAAACGACCAATTTCCGTTTGCTTGTTCTGATTTGATTTGATTTTTTGAAAATCGGATTTGATCTGATCTAATTGTTGTTATACTCAAAACTGTTTCTAATTTGATTTGATTTGATCTGATTATAATAAAAATAAGTAATAAAAAGAAAAAATAAGTTGAACGAAATGCTGCCTAAGTAGTAAGAAAATGCTTGTTTTGTTAATACGTAGATCCATGATGGACCTTAGGTCCACCATAGAATTTGTCCATTAAAAAATTTCAATTTCTCTTAGCGACAATGTAAGAGTTTACATAATACTAGTTTTTATCCCGTGCTTCGCACGGGATCACAATTTTTATAAATATAGCTATAAAGTTGTTACTCCGTATTATATTAAAAAAAATAATACTCACATTAAATAAATAAGAGAATAACTCTTAAAGTTGTTCAATCACAATGTCTATTGATGGAATACATAAATATTATACACGCATGTACATATGAAAGATAATAGAATAACTCTTCCTAAATAACTTTGTTAGACATTTCATTTTTGGAGATATCGTGGTATGCGAGGGAATGATGTATTCATTAATTTTCTCTATGACTCTTAGTATTTTACACTTTGACTAATTAAATTTATAATTTTGATAGAAAACTGTATTTTAAGTTGTTAGGGAAAAGTTTGAATTTTTTCGTTTTATTTTGCCATCATTGTGTATGAAACACTATACATGTACGAAAATTAAAAAAATATATATTTTATTCAATTATTTTCTAAAAAAAATGAACTCCAAGAAAAAATAGCAAATAAAATAGTGAACATAGATATATGTATGACTATTTAAGAATTATATTAACATTTTGTATAATATATTGTAATTTTTTAATAATAATATGACATGCATTATAAGTTTTTTTAAGAAATTTAGATATGATATTTTATTGGAGCTAGACAGTTATTAGATATATTTTATTTTGAAAAAAATATATTTTATCAATAATTCCTATGCTCTAAAATTTTTATTATATAATAGTTTATAGTAGCTAGATTATTAGATACGGTACTTTATATAATTATTTTTTATGAAAGGTTATAAAAAGAAAACAAAGTGAAATACAAAATATGCGCATATACATATATATACTCCATAATGTTTAATTACTAAATATAATATTTTTAATATTAGATAAAAAATAATGATGCAAATGTATTATATTTGATATAAATCTATATTTTTAAAATGGAATAAAAAGAAAAAATGGTGTAAAAAATCATACAAAGTGTTTTCTTTTAATGATTTAAAAAAGTTTATATAACCTTTGAAAAAAGTAAGTTTAATAAGTTATTAAAATATATTTTAAAATGATGAAATACATATTAGTATACCAATAACAATTAGAAGATGAAAAGTTTTGTATATACAAATTTATTGTAATTAAATATAATAATCATGAATAGTTTTTTAAATAAAAAATCTTCTAATAAATGCCATGTAGACCAATAAAATAATGACATTATGCCATGTGGATAAAAATATTTGTCATGTCATATGCCACATGTGTGTACCACAACTAAAGAACTCTCTTATATATATATATATATATATATATATATATATATATATATATATATATATATATATATATATATATATATATATATATAGGATGATACAGAGTAACTCTTTATACGCACTAAACATGAGACAACCTCGCAAAGAACTGGACTTCAGTTATACTCCCTAAGAGCATCTACAATGGAAAGTGTAAAAATAGGTAGGCTATATTTAGTTTTACACTATCAATAGTGGTTTACATCTCTACTTTTTTATATTCACTCCAACCATATCTTCTATATAATACACTTTTATTTTAATATTTTAAGTTATTTAATTGTGATAATATATATAGTTTTAAAAATTCTGATGACACATATATTTTAAACTATGGTTATAGAGTATTAAGAAACAAGAAATAAAAAAATTAGTAAAATAGAAGTAAAAAAAACATACTACAACATTTTAGTAAAAAATTTATTTATAAAAGTAATTGAAAGAGTAATAATAATTTACTAATAGTTAGATATTTTAAATAAATTATATTGGATAAGAAGAATTAACAGAATTAATCATGCATTATTTTAGTAATAAATTTTTTACAAGATGTGAATAGGAGAGTGTATATATAGAAGTTGAGAATTGTATTTTGGACTATAGTGCATTATTTACACTATCCATTGGAGGGGTTAAAATGTACATATTGTAGTGTATAAAGTGTATATTTAAACAATATACACTTTTTACCCTCTCCATTGGAGATGCTCTAAAAATTCCTATTTTGCTTTTACGTGCAAAATCTCATCTTTCTTTAAATGATTTTATTAACAAATTCGTATAGAAATAAAAAGTAAAAAGTTATATATTTAAATACTACATTAAAAATTTTACAAAATAAGTGGTGACAAGAATATTTTATTTTGTCATCTCACTAATGAAAAACACATGCAATTAAAAGTTATTGAGATGCCTTGATTAGTAAATAGGAATGGATTCAAAAAAGAGAGGGAGTATATGATTTACCCAAGAATGTGTATCATATACCTAGTTGTACGTAGAGCTAGGTACAACTGGCAAGTATTTCCTTGAATCAACAGAATTTTCATTTTGAATCAACATAATATTCATTTTAATCCGTAAAGTTCATTCTAATATTTGCTCAACATAGTTTTCATTTTCAAATAATGTACTGTTAATTCTGAAAAAAGGTAATATTCATTCTAATATTAATTTAAAACATTTCTTTAATTTCGAGTTTGTAATCATATACCAAAAACAACGCCATACCATAAAATTTGTCCACTCCCCGAACCTATGTCGGGTCGGGGCTTGGGTGCGCCCACCGTGAGCATTCCCCTTCCACGTTTTTTCTTTGACGACAAGTTCAAAAGGGTTGGTAATTCACATTTGTCATAACTTAAGCAGTATCTTATTTACTTTAATAATAAAAATGATATTTTTACATTAAATGTTGACACTATCCTCCACTTATATACCGAGAGGACAGGACTGAATATATTACTCTTTTAAACGGAGTAATTAGTACTACTATAATTCAAGTGAGGAAACTACATATTAAAAGAAAATGATTTATGGATGAAAATTATCAAGGAAAATGATCATCCCTTCCTAGCCAACTTGATTCTTCGATTAATTTCAATCTCCAGCTCTTTTAACCCTCCCACTTCTTCCAATTCCTGCACCAATAACATAATCCACCATTGTCAGCCACTCCAATAACTACCAAAATTACTACTCCATTACACAAATCCCATAGATAATTACACAACAGGTGTTGATGAATATATCATTTCACTGGTGTTACAATTTGACATTCAATATAAAACTCGTTTGCGATATTTACTCTCCATTTCACAATTTGCTTCGATATCTTTACCTAAATCTTAACCATTCAATGTTTATACAACTCGACAAATTGAAACCGAGGGTGTTTCATAGTGTATTCAAAGCTTACTCAATTGCGGTTCTATGTTATAGGTCATGGACGCCACAAGCCGCTTGGACTGGCTTGGCGTACCGAGCCTGAAATTAACCACAGCACTAAAATATATCAGACGTGTAATAAAAGGTTACCTTGGGTCCTAGAAATAGGCCATATGGGACACCATTGAACTTGTCCGTGTGATGCAGCTGAAATCAAGACATTATAGTCAAAACAGCTTCTTTGTGTAATAATTTATTGAGTATTTTCTGTGTTTGTAAATTTAGTTCGCCAAGAAAGTATTTCAATTGTATCATTTGTGTGCAATACAGGTCAAACATAGACACCGAAGACCGTAAAAGTCATATTACCTGATGAGCCGAAGCCACTCTTCTAAAATACGGTACATTGGCAATGGGCCCCACGGCAAACCGCTTGTGTACGAGACCATCATGGACAAACATATAGGCCATCCCAAACACCGTGATTCCCAGTCCCTGTACCGATCATGCGTGACGACAATGAAAAATCATTAATGAGTAATCCCTATGTTTCTCAATTGAAAAACTTTCCTTTTTCGTTTCCGAAACCGTTGATCTAAAGGCATTCGTTAGCATATCCTATGTAAAAACAGTCACAAAAAGTTGTTGTGTAAATGTTTGGCCAAAGTTGTACTAACTTTACACAATGTAGCTAAACTAATACTGATTCAAAAATTTTGACAATTGACTAAAATCACAGTAAATCATAGCAAAGTACAATTCTATATTGTTGAGTTTTAAAAATTAAAAAAAAAAGGAATGTTCAACAAAGCTACAGTAGTTGTTATTGATCACTGATCAGGAAAGAATTGTCCACCAATTCAAGCACTTTTTTGTATTGAAAAGGACACTAGAAGAAATAACATTAAATGTACAATAAATTCATCAAGATACACATTCCATTTGAATCTTCAATGATGAAGAGAATACACCATAGAGTGAGTGGACTTACTGCTCCAAAACAGAGGCCAGGAACGATGCCTTTGTGGAAGAAACCATAGGAGAGGAGAGCTATGGCCGGGACAGCGTTAATTATGGCGAACACATCATTCAGCTCAAATGCTCCTTCTCTTGGTTTATGGTGAGACTGTAAAATTTCATGTGAAATTCAATCAGAAACATGATTCTGGAAATTCAATTTTCATATATACATAAAAAGAAGAAGAAGAAGAAGAGCTGAGAATTGATGAAGAAACCTCATGCATGTGCCACAACGAAGCGTGCCAAAGCGCTCTGTGAGCCCATCTCGCCCAGAATTCCATTCCAATCTGGAAATTTCAACAACAAATATCAACACCCCATGAACCGATGCTTCTTCTGATCAGAAGAAATGGAAGGAATTCAGGTGGCACTTACAGCGGCTCCAACTGATAGAGCAAATGTACCGAACATCTCAATATATGGAATTTCTCCTCCCTATTCTCCCCGAAATCAAAGTGAAACTGTAATCAATTACAGAAATCATAGGGGGAAATGGATTGAGAATGACGCGTGAATTTTGGGGACTAGTTACCTCCATTTGCCAAGCAAATCTGTAATAAACGGCGAGAACAGCCATGGCCGTAACTCCTAAGCTCGACATCACGGCGGCAACAAGGTACGTGAAGCGCTCGGACTTCTTCCTCTCCGATTTCTCTTCCAATCGGGAGGCCGAGATCTGCTGCTTCTCAATCTCCTCCTCCGCCAGAATTTCAATCTCGGACTCCAATTTCTGCTTTCCCACAACAAAGCAGACACTAACCCGGGGCTTTTTAGGAGAGCTAATAACCGAACTCGGAAACCACCTACTCCACGGAGAGAACACTAAACTCGGCGGGGAAGCGGAGGAGGAACTGGGGCGGATGAATGAGAACTGGCGGCTGTAGATAGTTCGGGAGCAAGGGGCACTGGTGATTCCGGCCGCCATAGTCGGCGGAGCTCGTAAGAAGCACTAAGCTGCTGCTGCTGCTGCTGCTGCAAACCAGTTGATCGAGAGAGGGAGAGGGGGGTTGAAGGTTTGGTGGAGAAAGGGGAGATGGAGGAGGAGGGGGTTTAAAGGGAGGGAGGAAGGAAGACCACATGTTTGTTTACTGGACGGAATGGTGCTACGATAAGCATTTTGTACACTGTGCGCAGTGCGCCCTAGGATTGATTGATTGGCCCGATTAAGCTTTTTTGCAAGCCTAGCTGTAATTCCATTTGCGGGTGTGTTTGGTTTTCATCTGTCCAAATGCTGGAATAGCCCACCCCAAGCGTCCCACCCCTGACCCGACAGGAATGGTAGGGGAAGTAAATCATTGTGACTCAGTCGGCCAAGAACGCTAGACTCGTGCCCAGCGCGCACAAGGAGCCTTCTCAAGCTTTATGGGATTTTTGGATAGCTCTCAAACTGCCGCTTGCAGGACTCGATCCCTGGTCCAAGATTTCACGTTCTTGACCAACTGAGCTGTGCCCATACGGGCGTGTTTGGTTTTCATTGATGCGGAGTCATTTTCATTAGGATAATACTATGGGGACACCGGATATGTACACCGGATGTCCCCCATATACTCCATACCCCCCCCCCCCACACAATCCCCCCTCCCAAAAAAATTCCCCTCCACCCAAAAAAAAAAAATTCTCTCTTTCTCTAGGTTTCCCCCATTTCCCCGACCTTTCTTGCTTCGCTGCTTCGCCGTCC